TTTATTTATTTAAAATGATTTTAATTTATAATGTTCTTGGTGTGTAACAATGTTGGATCCACGAGTATTTTCCATTATTGGGAATAGAGGTTTGTCTGGGATTTGTGGTGTAGGTAGTACACTACTGAGGGCGGTGAAATTGAGTTATAGGCAAGGAACACATAAGGTTGATGAGTTTAGGTGTCTACTAGATGCATTGACACCTAATGATGTCATTTGGTAGCCATTTTCAGATCACAGATTGACTTGTCCATTTGATTATATATGTCTCTACAAGGGTGGTCTGAAATTGTATGGGACAGTTGTGTTGTATTTACCTGACAGATGTTTATGTCAGTTTGGGTATAGACAGTACATACCCCGCCCACCTCCTGATGTAGAGTAATTTGATGTGGATGTTTATTGGGTTGGATATGTTCAAGGAGTTTTGGATGTTGTCTGTGATGCAGTTTTCACCACCCAGCCATATGATGTAGTCTATGAGTACTTGGCTTGGTATTATACGGTGTCACATACTTGTTTGGTAGCACCACCACAGAATGAGGTGAGTGAGATCCTAGTTCCTATATAAGATGAAGGACATCCAGACTAGAGGTTATCATATATTTCATGTGAGCTTCGTCGCTACTTACAACCTCATGAGGTAGATGAGGAGGATGATCAGTTTGCTGAGATTTTTCAAGCACTCCATGTAGCTTAGAACAGGCCACTACCTATGGGCGGACTGATACCTTATGAGTCTGACGCATGATCTACTTTGGTTTTTGTTATTTTGAGACTTATGTATTATTTTAGGACTTATGTGTTATTTTGATACTTATGTTATTTTGGGACTTACTATAGAAATTAAAATATAACTTTTAGTCATTACAATCCAAAATTTAGTATGAAGTCATATGTCAATAGAATCCCAAAAAAAAAGCACATTACAATTATATTCTAATAATATGGGGCACTGCAGGTGTAAGGCGTTGCAAATGTTTTAACCGTCCAGCAAATTCTACCATCCAAAAAGTCGCATCTTTTATGCAAAATTTCTTCCAATCCAACGTGATGGGTTGCAACGGAAAGCCTTCATTCATGTTTACTTGTTTAGGAAATTAAGATTAAACAAAAAAAATATGTAAGTAACTTAACAACAAGGCATGAAAAAAAATTAATACGAAATGAATAATTACCTGTACCCAATGATTGGAAATTTAAAATTATATAAAGGGTGTGTCATTTCGTCTAGCTCGTGTGCCATGGCAATGAGAGATAAATTTTACCTTGTACCCCTACAGTTATCCTTCTACCCCTACAGATAAATTTTTTTGACGAAAATACCCTTGTATAAGTAATAACACCTTAAAAAAATTTCAGTTTTTCCTCAATTCACTTCAAAAGAACGAGAGAACAATTCCCTGAAAACACAAACTGGAGAGCACAAGTTCCTAAAATGCGGTTGTCATCCTAACACTCCAAATAACTCATCAGTAAGTTATCAGGTTCACGTGACAAAAAATAACACACATCGGATAACACAGTTTTGGGTTCTCCGATTTGCATACTTTGCAACCGGATAACCTATGTCCATGTTATCCGTTTCTTATTTCCTTATTCTAGTTTACCCTTGGCTGGGTTATCCGGTTCTTATTTTATTTTTTTCAGATAACCCTTCGTTGTGTTATCTGGTTCTGTTGATTCATATATGTTTATTTGCTTTCAGTGGTTTGTAGAAGAGGAGGCTCGAGCGTCAACAGTATGCGGTGAAGGATTGAAGAATTACAATGTCGATGGGCAATAGAAGATGGAGAGGAACATCAGCATCCTGATGCAGGTCGACTGCATCCAGCTTTCCCTAGAGGACCAACCGATACGTCTCTTTAAGTGAGGTATGAGGGCCATGTTGCTTGCCATTTATAGTTCGGCGAGGTAAGTTAACTGCTATCATGTTATCTTGAATAATTTTTATTTGGAAATACTTATATATTTTATAACTTGTTTATTATAAGTTGCTTTCAGAAGAGACAACCGAAGAAAGAGTTAAAGGTTTCTGCACATGGGATAAAATTGATAGGATGGATCCCGCACATGCTCCCACCTGTGATTCATACTTGGTTGATTGACTCTGGTCTATCCTCTCTCCAGAGAACCAGTTTATCGAGGATAAACCAAAATCTTGTATCAGCCTTCGTAGAGAGGTGGCATCTGCAAACATCGTCATTTCATATGCCATTTAACGAGATGACCATTAATTTGAACGATGTTTTATGTCTTCTTTGTATACCGATTAGGGGTGAGTTGGTTGACTTTCAAGAAGGCTTCATTGATAGTGATGCTATTAGACTAGTTATTGATCTGATGGGTGTTCTATTGGAAGAGGCAGCTGAGGAGATCCAATTTCGTAGAGTTCCTTTTTACATAATGGATTTATTGGAGGAAATATTTATGTGTCAGCGAGCTGCTAGTAGATTTGATTGTGCTGCTAGAGCCTATTTGATGGTGTTGTTAGGATGCACCATTCTTGCTGACAAGACCTTTACTCTTGTAGAGGCAAAGTATTTACCATTTTTTTAGGGACTTGGATGGATGTGGTAGATATTACTAGGGAGCAGTGGCCCTTGTCACACTTTACCAATATCTAGGTGATGATTCATTCTATACATGCAAGCATCTTTGCAGATATGCCTCTCTTCTACATGTACAAAATGTTTTATTACTATTTAAATTTATCTTTATTTATTTTAAATTATTTTAATTTATAATATTCATGGTGTGTAACAGTGATGGATCCACGAGTATTTTCCCACTAGTTGGGAGAGATGTTTGTCTGGGATTTGTGGTGTAAGTAGTACACTTCCGAGGGCGATGAAATGGAGTTACGAGCCAAAAACACAGAAAGTTGATGAGTTTAGGCGTCTACTAGATGCATTGATACCTGATGATGTCATTTGGAAGCCATTTTTTGATCACATGTTACCCTGTCCATTTGATGATATATGTCTCTACAAGGGTGGTTGAAAATGGTATGGGACAGTTGTGCTTAATTTACCTGACAGATGTTTATGTCAGTTTGGATATGGACAGTATACCTCGCCCACCTCCTGATGTAGATTCATTTGATGTGGATGTTGATTGGGCTGGATATGTTCAAGGAGTTTTGGATGTAGTTTGTGGTGCAGTTTTCGTCACTCGACCATATGATGTAGTCGATGAGTACTTGGATTGGTATTATACGGTGTCACATCCTCGTTTAATAGCACCACCACGTGATGAGGTGAGAGAGATTCTAGTTCCTGTATATGACAAAGGACCATCAGACCAGAGGTTATCATATATTTCACGTGAGCTTTGTCACTACTTACAGCGTCATGAGGCATATGAGGAGGACGATCTGTTCATTGAGATTTTTCTATCACTCTTGTAGCTCATGGCGGACCACTACCTTAGAGCGGACCGATAACTTATGATTATGACGCACGATCTACTTTGCTTTTTTGTTATTGTGAGACTTATGTATTATTTTGAGACTTTATGTTATTTTGAGTCTTATGTTATTTTGAGACTAATGTTATTTTGAGACTTGCAATAGAATTTAAAATTTAACTCTTAGTCATTACAATCCAAAATTTAGCATGAAGTCATATGTCAATAGAACCCCCAAAAAAACACATTACAATTATATTCTAATAATATGGGGCATTGCAGGTGTAAGGCGTTGTCAATGTTGTAACCGTCTGACAAATGCTACCATCCAAGAAGTTGCATCTTTTGTGTGAAATTTCTTCCAATCCAATGTGATGGGTGGCAACGGAAAGCCTTCATTCATATTTACCTGTTTAGGAAATTAAGATTAAACAAAAAAATGCATAAGTAACTTAACAACAAGGCATGAAACGAAAAATTAATAAGAAACAAATATTTACCTGTACTCAATGATTTCCATCTACATATCCAATGCAGTAAATAGATATATTAGGTGAATGTGAAGTCGTTATAGAAAATAAAGTTAAAGAAGGATAACCCAAAGAGATGATAATGACATTATACCGATTAGTTATTACATAAGCCATATCTGGTAATGTCATCCATTTCTCTTTGGGTTGCTGACCTAGAGTAGATATCATAAAAGGTTCTCTCACTATTGAAAGGCGAGCTCCAAATAACTCCCCATACATATTGCTTCGAGGATCTTTAAGTTCATTATCCAAGTCACGACGAATAATTCGCCATCCATCTGAGCCATAACCATGCAACGATGCAATGACTATAAATCCACAATTTTCATCCTTCAAGACATCAACAATGTCATCAATAAATGGTCTGATATATTTTGGAAATTATACAATGAAATTATTATATGGTTTCTTCTTTGAGGTTTAGGATAATTGTGAACATCGCCTCTTTAAAGATTTTTGGGAACTCGAGTGTGCTCGACCAACATACTCATGATATGAAAGGTCACGATAAACATCGTATCTCATAGGTTTCTTCTCATTCTTCTTCACCCCTCCCTTGGTTTTTATTTTTTCTGACGGTGGTAACATCTTTGTTGTAGTTGGATAAGCAATTTTACACACCCTACTTTTTAATACTCTTTTCCCTACAACATCTAGTGACCTGAACTTTTTCCAAATTTCTTCAATTGCATTGGCCATGTCCACCTCTGATCTATCATCTACATATACCTCTTATTTTCTTTCCATACTTAACTTTCTCCAATGGATGTGAATAGCCTCAATTGGTATCGGATCACCGCTCAGTGTGTATCTCCGTACCTCACAAGCACAATATAACCCATATAGTTTTCTATGAGTACACCCGCACATTTGGATGTTTGTACCCATAATGTCAACCCTCACCCGCTCTTCAGCAATATGCCTCAAAGCAGCTCTGGATATTGATCCATGCAAATTCTCTTAAAATGGACTAGTGTGTGCATGCTCAACTTCATAAAAACTCTTCTGAAATGAAACTCTAATGTTACCCAATTGTATGTTGAGATTGTCATTCATAGCCTACCAACATTTACACATACCACCTAAATTATTCTCTAACATCTCCTTTAGTTTCCAATGTGCGAACTCAACCCTTAAAATAAAATAAAATAATATACATGTAAGTATAAATAAAATAAAGTAAGTACATGTAATATAAATATAAACAAACTATGACTAAAATCAAGTAATATTAAGATAAACATACCTATTAGTCGTGGTGTTTCCCAAATGCAAGACTTGATTGATCCATGCTTCGACTAATCTATGACTATACGGAGTCAACCATGTATCTTTCACATAATTAATAAATGATTTAAAGTCAACACATGCATGCTCAAGTTGTTGCAACCGTTGATGCTACTCCACCTCATCACTAGCCCTTATAAGTTCATACCACATTTTCTCTATCGGCTCTCGCATGTCATCCACAACATATTCTTTACACTTCGCTTTCACATTTTTGTTGATGGGAAATCGACAAAGCAAATTAATTATCTTTGAAAATAATGTTTCAATTGCTTTCATCAATGCAAGATCTCTATCAGTCAAAATCACTTGTGGGTAAAACCCCTGCTTAGTAAACAACTGTTTCAACTTATCCAATATCCAACAAAAAATTTATGTCTACTCTGATTCCATATAGGCAAATGCAACAACAAATGTTAACTCAGTTGATGTCAAACCAATTGTTTCAAACAGAGGTTGCCTATACATGTTTGTCTTGTATGTGCTATCCATAATCAACACAATAGGAAACATATTCAACAATTTGACCGATTCTGAATGAGCCCAGAAAACATCTCTCACAACTTTCTACTCATCTTTTTTCCTGCTCCAGTAAACATAATCTGAATCCTCTATCAGCTTAAACAAATGTTACATTCATGTTCTAGGACCCCTTATGTATTTCTGTATCTTACTCTTATGTTTATATATTTGCGTGATCCGAGTGACGTTCTCCGGATCTCTCTCTTGCAATGATAATCATATGTGCCTTGGTGGAACATGATATTTTGTCAAATCAACAATATGTTGTTTATCATCTGCATTTAGTCGACCTACAAACGTGTGACCTTCAAATGTATCTGATAACCCATGGTTGTGAAGTCCATATTTTACATCAATCTTCCATCCAGAACCATCGTTTGACGATGTTGACTTAACTTTGAAAGGACAACCACATTTCTTATTAACACTTTGTGTTTCACTATCTCCTTCTTTGTATTTTTCACCTTTATCACAACCAAAAATTACTTTATCACTTCTTCCTCTCTTGCTTGTTTTGGTATCTAAACGAGTTATTATAACTATCACTTTATTCCTAATTCCAACCTCCATAATCCACCTTATCGCCTCTTCTTATTTCAGTGATATCTACGCATGTCTTATTTTTAACATATATCAAAGGAATATCACATGTTTAACAAAATATTAAAAAAATAAATAAATAAAGAAAAAAACACAACAGAATACCCGTGTATAAGAGATCCAGTTGGTAAAATATAAAAAACAGAAAACATTGATTAATGATTTTCAATTGATGTATATTAAAACAAACCGAATTTAAGAAAACAGAAAACAAACCGAAAAACTCATGTCCAGATTATCCGATTATTAAAAACGAACCGAATTTAAGCAACATAAGTTGTCCAGTTAATATGAAATGTAAACCGGATGTTATATATATCAAAGAGTTCCGGTTCAAAAAATAAGCATACCAAATTCTCCATCGCGCATTATCCAGTTTGCAGTACTAGGTGCACACTCGTTACTTTTGCATGTGTCAAAATAACCAGTCGAAATAGTAAAAAATTAACCAAATAGAAAGAAAAAAAAAGATAAAGTTGAAATGTTTTTAAAATTGTAGGGGTAAAAGGATAAATGTAGGGGTAGAGTAAAATTTTCCAATGAGAGAAAGCATCGAATGAATCTTAGTGATCTCTATTGCAAACACTATGGTGTTGAAATAGAGACAATTCTGCATGGAACATAGAGAAAATTAATAATCTTATGTGGTTCGGATTATTCATGTTCAAAATGAAGGAATGAAAATAGAACAGTATAATTATACATTTTATTACAAGTTTTTAAAATTACCTTTAACTTAATTGTATAAACTCCAAATTCAAACATCACTCCACGATTCTATTACTAATATGTATACAAAAACGGAGCCTCATCCGTTACTTCTCTCATAGAAAGACCATACCAAACAGCTTGATAGCCGAAAGATTTTATACTTGTATGGTAAATAATAATAGTTAACAATTTACATTTATAAGATGGTCCTCCCGTTACGTTCAATCTTGGTCATCCCATTTCCATCTACGTCCTACCTCTGAAAGAATAGCAGCACGAGCTTGGCTTCTTCTAGCTTCATCCTCCACCCAACTTCTGCAACATTCAACATTTACGCTATATATATTATTAAAAGAACCTGAAACACAGTTGCTACAGAAGCAAACAACTCGTGCAGTTATCCACTAAGTAGAACCAAACAAACCTTTCATTTCATACCAGGAATTGAAAAAACTTGTGCTAAATGGTTTTGTTGAAAATTTGGCTTTTGAAAAAAAAATGGCATATAAATTCACACATGTAGCTGACCTCAGAAAATGCTCTTTTATTGTTACGGTAAAAAGAAAATGTGTTAAATTCTCAGACATGCAAGTGTTGACAAGATTAATTGCAGATATAAGATATGATTGTGAAATGAAATATGTGCATAGTAGTAGGCATAAAAACTTGACTTTAAGAATAGACCAATAGCATCAATTGACCGATGTAGCTCAGTGAGACAATTTATTTATATTAAGGAAACAGTGAAAGAGAAAAAATAGGGTTGCTAACTTCCTGGCAAACTGGTTCCTACAAAGTGGAATTCCCTTTATATAAGACACACGATCATGCAAAATTCTACAAGTTTCTACTAAAAATTATTTGGTGCCTCAGTTAGTTATCATAGCAATGTAAACTTTGGACACCAAATCAAAATACCAACTCCAAACGTGCCACTACATAGGCTTTACAAGCCTCGCAATTAGGGGTGTTTATTGATTCAGATAAATCGAAACCAAGCCATAGTGTTTGGATTAGGCATTTTTTAGTTCGAGTAAAAACCGAATCAAACCAATGAAATCTGATGTTAATTGATTCGGACAACACATTGGCGGTTTCAATGCCCGGCCACACTGAGCGCCCAGGCTCTGGTCCAATTAATTATTAGAATCTGAAGTAAAAAAGGTATAAAAAAATTTTAAAAAAAAAGAAGAGGCAAATTATAGGTGAAAAAGGGGATTCGAAGTCGAAACGAAGAAAACAAGAGAGAAGATGGAAGAACGAAGAAAACAAACACAAGGCCATCGAAACTTCGGAACGTGACCACGCCCACACTGCCGAGAAGAACTGCTCTGCAGCAACACCACGGCCACGCCGTCAAAACGCCCTCTTCCAGTCACAGCTCCGCACCGCCATCGGTGAGTTTTTCAGCTTCTTACGTTTAACTTTCCTCTATTTGAACAAGAAATTGTGCCTACCATCTTTGTTCAGCTTATTTTTTCTGTGAAATTTGAGCCACAAAGTTGTGAAATTTGATTAGAATGATATGCACACAAAGTGTTTGATCAATTGACTGTGAGCATCGGTTTTAAAACACGGCTCGTTTGATTCACCGTGATTCAGCTTTGAAACATGGCTCGTTTGGTTCATCTATGAGCTTCGGTTTACTCCTTCCGCTGTTCCGCAGTTCGCTCTGTCGGGTTCCGAGCATTTGTTAATCAGCAATAGAAAAATACTTGTATAGCATGATCGTGAGGGATGTTGGTTTAGGCTTGGTGTTGCCGAAGGTTGGAGCATTATGGTTTAAAAATTAAAATTCTAAAGATTTGGTTTGCTTATTGATCGGTGATGTTCAATTCTTCAAATCATCAAAACTAGTTCAACGGAATTTGAAGGTATATTTTTTCTTCGTCTAGGTTTAGATCTTTCAAAGCTGTTTCTGTTTTTATCTTGCTGATATGGCTTCAAGACAATCTGCATTAATGCTGGTTATAATCTGGTCGAAAACTTTCAGGCTTGGAAACTGAATTGTATTCTAAATGTCAAGTAGCTTTCTGAAGATCTCAGCTATACCAGTGCAGTTTTTGAGCATTTTTTTTGGGAGTAGCATAATCTTGTTTTGTATAAATCTATTTTCGACGTGTTCTTAGAGACATTTTGCGCTTGGGTTCTTTCCCTTCTATTCAAAATTATCATTGCCTATAAAAAAATCCTGAATTTCTTTAGCATGGAGTTGTGTGCGAGTGTGTAATGTTTATGTGGTTAACATGTAGTCATTTTTTGAATCATGTACATAGTACCTAATAGTACACAATGTTTGATTGAAATAATACTATGTAGGGAATAAAATGACAAGATGCATTGATCTGATAGTGATTGATTTGGGTGCAAATAATTGTGAATTTTTTTCTTGCTCTTTTTTCTTTGGATATTTCTAGCAGCATGATATAGGCGGGGAGTTAATGTTTTGCATAGACTGGTTTTGGGAGAAGAAAAATGACTGAGCTAGAAATTCATTGATAGTATAGTTGTTAATTTCCAGTATCCTTCCGGTAAATTTGGTTAAATTGATCTTTTTGATACATAAATCAATGTTATTCTTTAAATATCATATGTAAAATAAGGCAGAGAGATTCATTTGTTTGATTAATGATTTTGTTCTTAGGTCCTTCCTTCAATGGTTGATTAGTTGGACTATGCAAAAGATGTTTTTGTTATTACTAATAATTTTTACAATAGGTTGATTAGTTGGACTATGCAAAAGATGTTTTTGTTATTACAATTTTTTCACAGGCTTCATAATTTTTTTGGCTCTACCACTGGGGCAACGGATTACTAAATTTCTACCTGCGAACTCGTCTATCCTTAACCAACCATAATTAATTTTTATAATTTATATCATCATTATTATGGAAACTGGTATAAAGTATTCAACCCAAATCAACCTGTTGTTTCTCGGTTTGGTTCAGTTTGAGTTTTATAGTAAAAATGTGCAAATTCAACCCAAATAAATCCCTATATTTTTGATCGGTTAAGGAATCGGATTCTCTAAAAACCAAACCAAACTGGCCCGCGAACAGCCCTACTCGCAACTGTGAAATTGGAATTTGGAAGCATTAACCAAAATAGTAATTGAATGGATATTTGACTGGACTGTATGTAAGGATAAAAATAAGCACAAGTCATAAATTACCTAAGCATCTGAAGAGCTTCTTTCTCAGCTTCCAGTGTGGACTTGGTGTCAAGAATTTCTTCATGCTTGAACTCTAAATCTCTAAGTAACTTCTGTACAGTTTGCTTTTCATCTACATATATGACTCTCTCCGAGGCAAGCTTATCTGATATCTCATCAACTTCTTTTTTCAAACTAAGCATCATCTGCTTCTGACAATCCATCGCTGCCTGTTCTTTTAAAAAATCAACATTTATCTTTTCTTGATTGAACTTCTCTTCCACCAAATTGTTGACTGCCTCGAGGTAAAGCCTCTCTATATCAGAACCGTGATTTTTTTCTTCACTAAGCTTCGCATCCCAAAACTTCTGTATGTCTCCTCGGCTAAGCAGCTCAGATCTGATCTCTTTTGCCACATCCTGCCTGGCAGAAATCTCAGCTTCTAATCTTGACATTTCCGCAGATATTGCTTCTTTCATTCTGCCACTTGTCAGAGCCACAGCTGCTTGTGCTTTCGTTGAAGGTTTGCTTGGCTGAAAGCGCTTACTCTGTCCTGTAAAACAAAAGCTCCTAGATACTTAGTTATAACCCTAACCAAAAAGATGAAATATACAACAAGCACTACTTCATTCATTAACCCGGTTTACAGACCACGATAAAAGCATAAAATGGGTGCTGAAAATGTGGAGTTCATTTGTATTGCATCTCATTTGATCATGTTCACACTGCTGGACATTATTCCACGTTAGATATAGTTGAAAATATTAGTATAAGTATTCCCTAATATGTAAACTGTCTTTTATTTTGTATTTATTGCTTGAGACTATATAAAGCTGACATTATTTTGGAAATAAGACATGTTTTCACCATCTTATACCATTGTTTTCTCGTAAACATTATGGTATCTATAGCCTAATAGAGGTAACCCTTGAATAGTCTATACACGGTGGACACTGTTTACTAGGAGTGTTCAAAAAAATTGGTTTCTGTTAGGCCCCAAAAACATTCCAATACCTGGAGGGTATATACCCGAAGGGTGAAGAGGAGGAATTATTCCTCAGCTGCACCGGCAGCTCACTTAGAGAGAAAGAGAGAATTGTCTTAACCAATTCTGCTACAGTTGAGCTTCTTAAGTAGGGTGGTTGGGAGTATGTTGAGATATCCAGAAATTTGCTGAGTTTGTTAGAATGGAGGGCAACAACTCTCTGTAGGGGCAAGGCCCTGTGCAGTCAAGATCACTCTGTAATTCCTTTTTCATTCCAACGATACAATAATCTCTCTTATTTTCACTGTTGTGTTTGTCTTTTCTCTGGGACCTACCAGTTTCCCTTTATTATGATGTGGTTGGGCCTAATTCAACCCTACAAAACCGGCTTGTAGGGTGAGGATTGCTCTCACTTATAAACACGTGTTCATGCCATATATTATCAGATGTGACGCCCAGGACTAGACAACTGGAGCGTGGAAATAAATGGTGGGTGGCCCACTGAATCCTAAACGAGGCTCTGATACCATATTATGATGTGGTTGGGCCTAATTCAATCCTACAAAACCGGCTTGTAGGGTGAGGATTGCTCTCACTTATAAACACATCTTCAGGCCATATATTATCAGATGTGGGACTCTTAACACCCTTAATTGACCCAGAACCAGACTGTACCATTTATAAAAGCAAGTCCATTTGTGGAAAAACCATATTCGACCCAAGTAAGCCCAAAGGCAATAAACCGGGTACCATTTGCAAACATTCTCTCTGATTCAGCCATCATGCCTTTCTTAATCGCTTTTTGAATGAATCATTTGCAACCGACATAACTTTCTCCAAATCTACGTAATTGATTATGTGTTGCTGAATCGTTTTTGTGAATCGTTTACTTTTGCTTGAATAGTTTGTGTGAATCTATTGACCATTTCCAAAGATCCGAGTCTAATTTGGCGTTCACAAAACCGGATGGCATTCAATGACGGCACTCACAGAAACAATGGCATTCAGCGGCAGAACCAGCGGCATTCAAAACCTCTCACAGAAACGAAGGTGTTCACGGAACCAGTAGCGTTCAATGTCATATGATGTCGTTTGATTGAAATATGGGTTTTAATCAAAACCGGTTTTGAACCAAATCCAAACTGGTTTGAATCCATCTCACAAACATGAACCGGTTTTCCAAAATTATTGTTTGGCTTTAAACCTTGATCAAAAAAAATGCTTTGGTTTCAATGATTAGGTTACCATGCCCTACTGTTCACCAGAGAGAAATACTTTTGGCAAATTGTGTTCAAACTCCAATTTGCCCATTCATAACAGCTGTGGCCACATTCAGGCAGCTTCGGTCCTTTTGTCATCTGTCAGTCAGCCGCCTCCACCTTATCCGGTGACCTTTCTGGCCAGCCAACCACCCCGCTGTCAAAAACGCACTGTCCTGATCAGTCAACAACCCAAAACCCAACCCTAGAATATGCCTCATGTGCCATCACGTGTAACTGCAATGTTTCAAACACTTTCCAGGATGGTGTCAACTAATTTATAATCAAACTCTCATTTCACTAATCATTGGTGTCAACTGATTTAAAATCAAACTCCCATTTCACTAATGATTCAGGAAAAAGTGTATTTGAAAAGTTGATGTATCTGATCTTGATTTTTAACTAAATACATCAACTTTTCACATACCACTTTTGCTTATATTTCATTCAGGAGAAAGTACCAATTACATTACCTTGACTTTTGACAACAAGTTATTGGTTAATGGCCAAGGACCACCTTAGTAAAGCTAAATTTGTGGATACTATTCATTGTGAACAACCATAAATTATGCTGGGCCTAACTATTTAGTGTCACTAAATTAAATAATTTTTCCATTGCCCAATTTTTTTAAAAAGGAATGGAGGGAATACCCTAGAGGCAGGGTTATCCTAATCTTCCAAAACTAAAAAAAATTGGTGTCTAGCCTCTCTAAGATATGTATTTTGCAGTGTGAGTTGTGTTAACTAGGGAAATAAACTTGTAGCCAGTTCCCCAATCAGCAACAACAATCAAGCATTATCCCACTAAGTGGGGTTGGCTACATGGATTAAATTCCACCATAATGTTTTATTCAAGACTATGTTTCTATCTAATTCATTAATCTCGAGATCGTTCTTAATAATTATTTTCTCTTATAGTTGTTCTAGGTCTTCCTCTACTTCTAGTTGTTTGACTCCTCTCCATCCGATCTACTCTTCTTACAACAGAATCTACAGGTCTTCTCTCAACATGTCCAAAGCACCTAAGCCTATTTTCCACCATCTTTTTCACTATAGGTATTATCACAACACTCTAATATTATCATGTCTAATCTTATACCGTCAAGTCAATTAATAGGCTTTGTCGCCTCTTGTTTCATGTTTTATGGTTATTTTGTCATTGTTTCCACCATGGCCGCTAAAACCACCATATGTCCTAGAAATGACAGCCACACGCTATAAAAAATATGCCATGCATAGATAGCACCACACTGCTGTCATTCGAAGACAATCACCATGCTTCCAGGAATAATAGTTGAAAGAAATTTGATGTATATAAATTTGTCAACTGTTATTGCTAGCGAGAGAAAAAGAAACATCAAAGCATAGAGAGAAAGCCTAAGAAACTTACCAAAAACTTTTCTAAGTATACTACTATCTCCTGCCAACATGTCCAAATAAACTCCTGCAGAAGTTATCTCTTTCACATCCATATAACCTGCTTTTTCAATTGATATCTGGACTGTAAAAAAGTCAGGTTTTAAGAGATGACAGACAGAGAAGTTTTTCATCATGCATATTTAAAAAATTCTCCAAATACTTGTCTTTTTAAAACAGCTTACCTGGTCAATTATCCCAGAGAAAAATCCATACTCAACCTGAGTTCTCCATTCCATTAGATCTTGTCGTGAAATGAATCTGCAGTTGACATATTTTCCGTTTAGTACAACATAATTTGATTATGAAGTGTAAAAGAGTAATGAAATACAAATGTACCTATCAGGAAAAAAATTTATATCTTCTTTACAGTCAGATCCATAACCATTAGAACTATTCTTCCAAGATAATTTGCTGGGGACCATACCGGCTTCTGCTAAGACTTTAGCATCGAATTGGCAAAATTATAAAATCATTCAAATCTCTACATGTAAGAAACTTTATTTTTGGATCGAGGTAAGTTTCATAACTTTTTTACCTTGAATTGATTGAAAATCTGGATCATCAACATTGATATCATCAAATGCAGTAACTACAGAGCCAGACAGGGATACAATTGGAGCAATCCTGTGTTTTGGATTTCTGGAAGACAAAGAAACCCATTTTTAATGGAAGCTGTTAGATATCGGAATATTCCGTATTATGTAAATAGAATATTCTGTAAGTAATTAGGATATCATGTAGATAGGAAATAAAATATTATGTAATTACTATGACATTTATGCCTCCTATTATATATAATGAGCTCCGTTGTGTAATTCACACACACGGATTCTATCCAACTTTCCTCTTGTTCTCTCATTATTCGACATGGTATCAAGAGCCTAACAAGAGGCAAGAGGCAGCCTTAATCCGTGCTTTCCCGGTAGACCCCCTATTTTCACAAGTTATGATGCATGTATTAGTGTATACAGCTGTTATTAGTTGTATTGGGTTGTTATAACTGCTTAGACAGTTATATATAGTTAGAAAATAACCATCCAATGTATGCTTTTGTTGAATAAATAAAATACTCTTTCCTCATCTCTACTTTCTATTCTCTCTCTATATATATATATATATAGATTCTCCCTCTCTCCCCTATCATTGGTATCTAGAGCCTGTCGACCTCGGCCACATCATTCATGGCAGAAGCGACGCGAATGCAGAACGCCATTCGTGAGGCGGAGGAACGCATAATGACGGCGGTGGAGCCATGTATCACGAGGCAAATTCGTGAGTTGGAGAACCGTTTCGAAACTCAATTCACCAATGTGCAAGAAGCCATGCGCGGAATTGGATTGCAAATGGCGGAGTTAACGGCGGCGCGTCGCCATGGTGGCAACGGCGACGGAGCAACTCGGCCAGCAACGCGATTAACGCGTCTGGATTTCCCAAAATTCACTCGCGACGATGTCGAATCTTGGATTGCGAAATGTGAACGTTTTTTTTTGTTGGATGGAACGCAAGAAGGGGACAAGGTCTCGGTTGCGAGTATCGCTATTGATGATAACTCTTTTCGTTGGTTCCAAAGTCTAGAACAGGGATCGAATGGCCGATTGACATGGCAGAATTTCACTGAGGCATTGAAGATGCGATTTAGCCTCGAGTTCGATTCGCCTATGGAAGAACTAAGAAATTGGTACAGACTGGTTCGCTGGAGGCGTATCAGGAATCATTTGACAATCTTGTGGGTAGAACAACGTTGACGGAATCTCAAAAGCTCCAATGCTATTTGGGAGGCCTTCAACAGGAATTGTGTAATGGTGTGAAGATGTTCGCTCCGCGAACGGTGTTGGAAGCTACTCATATAGCAAAGTTGCAAGAACGAAGTTTGGAATTGTTCCAGAAACGGTTGGGGCCTGCAAATCGAACACAAGGTTCTTGGAGTGAGAAGAAGAATACAGTTTCTCACACCTTTGACAAGAAAGTGATGCCTCGGGAGAAGAAAGGAAATATCGAAGGTTCTCAAAAGAGCATTTTGGGAAAGTCGGCATATACGTTTCAGAAGAAACTTTCTCCGAAAGAAATGGAGGAACATAGGGCTCAAAACTTGTGTTTTTTCTGTCATGACAAATTCTTTCCTGGACATGATTGTCCTCAGAGGAAGAAAATGCAAGTTTTCCTTATGGAGGTTGGGGAGGAAAACCAATTGGACACAATGGGAGCTGATTCTGTTCCTGAGGAAATGTCTAATGATCCTACTCAAGGTGTTGACCCTACTGTTTCACTTAATGCCATTCAGGGAGACTCTTCTCATCCTATGATGAGATTGATAGGATGGATGGGCAAAAAGAGAGTTCATGTACTCATAGACACAGGCAGCACGCATAATTTCATCAACCAGAAATTATGTAAAGAGGGGCTCAATACTCTACAACCTATGCATCCCTTGCGGATAACTGTAGCTGATGGCGGTCTTATACAAGGTACAGGACGGTGTGAAGGCATCCGGTTAAAGCTTCAAGGGTATGATTTTCTTACTAATGCTATTGCAATACCATTGTCCAGTTGTGATATTATATTGGGCATGCAATGGTTAAGGCAATGGGGAGTCATCCACTGGGATTTTACCAATATGCCTATGGAATTTTCTATGAATGGTATGCCGGTGAAGTTGCAGGCTGTTAAAGAAATTAAAAGTAGCGTAATTTCAACTTCTAAATTGCATCAGTTAATGCTTGAAGATAGTTTCTGTTATATGCTACAATTGCTACCTTGTTCCACAGAGGCAATGTGTTGTTCAGTGACCACTGAGGAGCTACAGGATCTGGTGAAGATGGCTCATAGAGAATCTGTTTTACATGAGTTCCAAGAGGTCTTTGAAACACCTACTCAGCTGCCACCCTTTAGGGGTATTCATGATCATCAAATTGTGCTAAAGGAGGGTTCTAACCCGGTTAGTTTAAGGCCTTATAGATACTCCCTAGCTCAAAAGGATGTCATTGATGGCATGGTTAGAGAGCTCTTGGATTCGGGAGTAATTCAACCAAGCTCTTCCCCTTTTGCTTCTCCAGTTGTGTTGGTCAAAAAGAAAGATGGGAGTTGGCGAATGTGTGTAGATTATAGGCGGTTGAACGAAATGACGGTGAAGGCTAAATTCCCAATTCCTTTGGTGGAGGACTTATTGGATGAATTAGGTGGGGCAATGGTGTTTTCTAAACTGAATCTTAGGGCTGGATATCATCAAATAAGGATGAAAACGGAGGACGTACCAAAGACAGCGTTTCAAACTCATGGGGGGCAGTATGAATATGTGGTGATGCCTTTCGGCTTGTCCAACGCACCAGCTACTTTTCAAGGAACAATGAACACTATTTTTTCTGGTTTATTGAGAAAATGTGTTCTTATTTTCTTTGATGACATACTAGTGTATAGCCCATCTTTGGAGGCACACGTGGATCATCTTCGACAAGTGTTTCAAATCCTCAAAGCTCACACCTTCTATGTTAAGAGAAGTAAATGTGCATTTTTCACGACACGGATCGAATACTTGGGTCATTTCATTACACCTACGGGAGTTACTACTGACCCAATTAAAGTTCAAGCTGTGACAGATTGGCCGGTGCCTCAAACTGTTAAGCAATTGAGGGGATTTTTAGGATTGACGGGTTACTACAGGCGGTTCACTAAAGGTTACAGCATCATTGCTTCTCCTCTTACTGATTTACTCAAGCGAGATTCTTTCCATTGGACACAAGAGACGCACGCCGCCTTCACTACATTGAAAGATGCTTCGAGTAATTCTCCAGTGTTGGCCATCCCTAATATGCAAAAGCCATTTGTCGTTGAAACAGATGCTTAGGGCACTGGAATTGGGGTTGTGCTAATGCAGGACAAGCACCCTGTGGCTTTTATTAGCAAGGTTTTGTCTCCTAAAAACAGGTTGTTGTCAGTTTATGACAGGGAATTATTAGCATTGGTTCATGCAGTCTCTAAATGGCACCAATATCTTTCTTTGAACACATTTACAATTCTTACTGACCAACATAGTTTGAAGTACCTATTAGAGCAACGCCTATCGACTCCAGCCCAATATAGATGGGTCACTAAGCTCATGGGCCTTTCTTATGAAATTTTGTATAAGAAGGGTAAGGATAATATGGCTGCAGATGCCTTGTCGAGAGCCTCGCACGGTGAAGTTTTACAATTGACCGTCTCTTCTATTTCTTCTGAGTTATGGGACTCTCTCCTTAAAAGCTATGAACAAGATTCAGCTTTGCATGACCTCAAGCTGCAGGTTCTCGCTAACCTAACCTTGCATCCCCATTTCTCTGTTTTGGACAATTTACTGTATAGGAAACAGAAGCTGGTCATTCCTAATGATGGGCAAGTGCGATTGGTGATTCTACAATGGCTTCATTCTTCACATCAAGGAGGCCATTCAGGCATCAGGGCTTCTATAGCAAGGATCAAGAGCATATTTTATTGGAAGGGCCTTGCCAAAGATGTCGCAAAGTTCATTCAACAATGTGAGACTTACCTTAGATGCAAGTATGAACCTAGAGTTGTTGCTGGTTTACTTCAGCCCCTGCCAGTTCCAGAAGGAGTGTGGCAAAGTATAGCCATGGACTTCATTGAAAAGCTTCCTAAATCCCATGGTAAAGACACGATTTGGGTAGTTATTGATCGGCTGATCAAATATGCCCATTTTATTCCTCTTGCTCACCCTTTTACGGCATCAAAATTGGCTGAAGTTTTCATTTCTGAAATTTACAAGTTACATGGTGCACCTGCCAACATTGTGAGTGACCGAGATCCCTTGTTTACAAGTAAATTTTGGGGTTCCTTCCTTGGTCAATTGTGATAGAAACAGAGAAGCAAAGAGTGAAAGAAAGAGAAGAGAGAGTAGAAGAGAGGGAAAACGAAAACAGAATTTTGTTATATTAGATCTTGATTCTGTTACAGCCTTTCTTTATATAGAAAGGATAAGGGGATAGAAATGAAATTAGACACTAGTCTAATTCCCTTATTACAGGATATTACAGAACTACCCTTATAACTCTAATACTCCCCTCTCAAACTTAGGGTGGTTGATCAAGTTTGAGCTTGTCAACAACTCTAAGCTTTGATTTAAGAAATAAGAATTTGTTGGTGGAGAGAGGCTTGGTTAGCACATCAGCCCACTGATCTACTGCAGGAATGTGGGAAACAATGAGGTTCTTGCCAATCACTTTCTCCCGGACAAAGAAAATGTCAAGTTCCATGTGTTTGGTCCTTGAGTGCAAAACAGGGTTGTGAGCTAGAGATACTGCACTGAGATTGTCACATAGTATCTTGGGAGTCTGATGGGTGATCTGAAGTTCCTGCAGAAGAGACTGAAGCCAGAGAATCTCTGCTGTAGCTAAGGCCAAACTTCTGTATTCTGCCTCAGCACTGGATCTGGCAACAAGTGTCTGCTTCTTTGCCCACCAAGTAACAAGATTAGGACCCAGGAAGATGCAAGCCCCAGAAGTAGACCTTCTATCGTCAGGATCAAATGCCCAGTCTGCATCACAAAGGCTTGTGATAGTGAGAGGCAAAGTGAGGTTAGCAGGTGAGAGAAGAAGACCATGTGAAACTGTCCCTTGGAAATACCGGAGAATGCGCTTAACAGCTTTCCAATGATCCTCAAGAGGGTTTGAGAGAAATTGGCACACTTTGTTGACTGCAAAAGAGATCTCAGGTCTTGTGGCAGTAGCATACTGTAGGGCTCCCACTATAGACCTGAAGTAGGTGGAATCGCAACTGGAGCAGAGCCCACTTTGGATAGTTTGGTGCTTGAGGCCATAGGGGAAGCAATTCCTTTGGCAGAAGCCATGTTGGCTCTGTGAAGCAGATCCCTGACATACTTGCTTTGAGAAAGCAGAAGAGAACCATTGGGAAGATGAGATACCTCTATGCCCAAAAAATAATCAAGTGTGCCCAAGTCTTTGAGAGAAAAGGCCAGATTGAGTCTAGTGACCAACTGCTTGATGAAAGACGAAGAAGAGCCAGTGATGATAATGTCATCAACATACACCAACACTAAGGTGTAGCAGGATGGTGTGAGCATCATGAACAAGG